GGGATTGATATCCCGTGGGAATGGGGGGTATCCCTTAGGGATTGATATCCCGTGGGAATGGGGTCTGAATCCCGTGGGAATGGGGGGTATCCCTTAGGGATTGATATCCCGTGGGAATGGGGTCTGAATCCCGTGGGAATGGGGGATATCCCTCAGGGATTGATATCCCGTGGGAATGGGGGAATATCCCTCAGGGATTGACTGACTCTCCGTCCCACGAGATGCCACGAGACGGGGATCCCATCCCGTGGGATTGGCTGCTCGTTCCCTCCCACCCCCACCAGGATTAACCTCCCCCTCCCTCTTCCCTCCCTCCCAGGACCCCGGGAGGAACCGGAGATGGTCGAGCTCGGCGTTCCCACCCCCCTTCCCCCCGGCTCCATCGCCGATTCCCGGGGGACCCTGCGCTGGACGGTGGTGCAGCAGATCGAGCCCGGCTGCCCCTCCTCCACCAGCACCAAATCCGCCTCTTCCACCCCCTCCTCCTCCTCCTCCTCCTCTTCCTCCTCTTCCTTCTCCGACTTCAGGAGCATCCTCGTCCTGCGGAAGAGCTTCGAGTGCCGCGAGTGCGGCAAGAGCTTCAGCTGCGGCTCCCACTACCGCAAGCACCGCCGGACGCACACCGGCGAGCGGCCCTTCCGCTGCGGCCACTGCGGCAAGGCCTTCAACGTCAGCTCCAACCTCTACCGCCACCAGCGCGCCCACGCCGCCGCCGCCGCCGCCGCCAACCCAACCGCCGCGGCGACGCCGACTCCCTACAAATGCCAGGAGCGCGGGAAGAGCTTCGCCGCCGGCTCCAACCTCTCGCGGCACCGGCGCGCCCACGCCGCCGACTCGGCAGTGATGCCAACACCGGAGCCCACCCCGAGGGCCCCCGGCCTCGCCTACGAGTGCCGGGAGTGCGGGAAGAGCTTCCGGCGCAACAAGGAGCTGGCGACCCACCAGCGGCTCCACACGGGCCGGCCGCCCTTCCAGTGCGGCCACTGCGGCAAGGGCTTCTCGTGGAGCTCCCACTGGGAGCG